TCTGTTTCAAATGTCACGGTTTTACTTCAAATGTTATATGATATTTTGGAAAATAAGACCGAACTGTTTTACTTGTTTTCTAAACCTTGTATGAGTATGGAAGGAATGTTGCTACAGAGCTTAGTGCTCATCCCCTACAGATAATATCTTTTCAGATTTCGTCTATGAGGAGGAGTTACAAGTAGATGAACCAGTGCATGGGAAAGCTCCCCTAGAGGGGAACGGGGATCCTGAACTGGATGCCTAGAGTTATATTTCTTTTGTACTAGACTAGAGAGTTTATTTTGAAATCATGTAAAGTCTAGTATTTTGTTATTTTACTGCAAGTGTAATTTAATTCTTTTGGGAATATATTTGTCATACTTGGCCTATTCTTTTGGGATGACATTGTGGATATGACATATGATGAATGAAGGTTTATTTTATGATGGATAAATAGACCCGGTGTGGTCAATAGTTATGCATATGTGGACCCGGTGTGGTCAATTGTAATATAATTGTACAGGTTGTGTTTTGGGTAAAACTCCCCGTACAAAGGAGACTCTGCCCAAATTTTGTTAAAATATGAATGGTTGATGAATGAACTTTCGTTGTGATGAATTTACGTAATGCTCTCATGGTGTGAATGGTTTTTAGAATGTAATGTCACCCAAGGGGGTTTTTGGGGCGTTACAAATAGACACTACTATATGAGGGTTGTAGATGTAATCCTTGTCATCAGGAGACACATTAATTATAAATTAAATATATAATGTATCATTATTAATAAATATTTGTAAATATACACATAAATACGACGTGATCAAATTACAAGATATTTGTAACGAATGTTTGATGGGATCTAATGTCGACCTAATAAAAAAAATGTAACAAATTTTCCAAAGAGCTATGACGAAAATTTATAGAAGGTAAAAAATTGACTTAATTTACTAACTTAATGATGTGATAGTAATATAGTCCAATAATGTTATTGTGAGACTGAAATTCTTAATTTTTTTTGATTTTCTCTATCCAAGAACTAAATAGATTTGAGTAATAATAATTAAGAATAGGGGCTTACCAAAAACAAAAAATAATATCTATATAATAAAGTAACTTACAATTCAACTATCAAAAGATAAACAAAATAATTTTTGCTTTTCGCGATTAAGATCGCTTTAAATTTTACTTTCAACTTAATCTAACGGTTAATATTAATACCTTAAATTTAATAGGAAAAATAAGTCCCTAAAGGTATGTTTGGAGTGACTTTTTAAAAGTACTTTTAGAAATTATTTATCATAAATATTTTTTAAAAAATAATGTTTGAAACCGCTCCATCACTGCCATTACCACCGCCACTGCCACCGCCGCCACCACCACCACCACCATCGCAGCCACCCCCGTCGTCGTCGCCATCGCCACCACCACCGCCACCACCACCATCGCCATCGTCGTCGCTTTCGCTGCCACTGCCACCATCACCACCCTCACCCCCACCGCCGTCGCCGCCACCACCAACTCCACCACCGTCGCCAACACCTCCATCTCCACCGTCGCCACCACCATCGCCGTTGCCGTCGCCACCACCACAACTCCACCGCTGCCGCTGTCACCCCCACCCCCACCACCACAACTCCACCATCACCACCACCACCGTTGTCGCCGCCACCACCATCACCACCGCCGTCGCCGCCGTCACCACCACCATCACCCCCACTGTCACCACGGCCACGACCATGGCCACCATCACCACCACCACCGCCACCACCACCATTACTGTCACCGCCGCCACCATCACCACCATCGCCGTCGCCCTCGCCGCCACCACGATCATTGCCACCTACCATAACTATCACCGTCTCCTACCACCACCACTTCTCACCCTCATTACAAACCGATGCTTAAATTCTTTTATTTTTTTTTCTATGTTTGTAATTTAATTTTGGATATGAATACAAATATATTTATTGTTTACCATTTTTTATTACTTTGCGCTTTCAGGCACAGATAATAACTAGTAAGGGTATAAAGACCATATAATCAAATGGTAGGGGTCTTAGTGTACTTATATCGAACGTTGTTTCCAAGTGGTTGTAAATTGTCATGTAACAACCATTTCTTTCTCTCTCTCTCTATCTCCCTCTCTCTCTGTAGTCAATGAGAATTTTGTTTTTGTCATATGTGAATTTCGTGACCTAAGGTCTGTTGTAATTTGATTCTTGAAAATGATGAACACAGATGAAGAAGCTATCAAATCTCTTCCAAATTCTGCCACAGTTTCTTTTCTGAATTGTATCGATCTATCTAGTCTTGACATGCAACACTCTATTTCTTTACTCAAACAGGTACTCTGTTTAAGTAGAGAAACAGAGTGTTGCATGTCATGTATACGTACGAAAATATTTGCTCTTAGCAGGCCATGGATTATAAGCGTGATTCAATTTGGTTATTTCTTGGTGAATTCATTAAACCTATCAAAAAATAGTCGCAATTAGTTGATTAAATGTTGATTTTAATATTTGTTTTTGATTCTATAATTTCACGGAGGATTTTTATGAAGCCCTAAGCGATATTTAGTCTTTTTGATCCATTTGCAATTCTTGTTCATTGCATTTTGTATGTTAGATAACATAGATGAGGAAATCAGGAACATATACATAAAATGATTGGATGAAATTGAAGATCAATTAGCCTGAATGATGCTGAAGGATGTATAATTAATCTATATTTCAATACCTTTTTTTTTTCTCTTTTTTCCCCTTAGGAACCATTCTTTTTTATGTCAATATGTAGCAATTTGTCTATTTTTGTCATTTATTTCCAAAATTTTGGTCCAATTTTACAGAAGCACTTGTGCACAAGCACAAAAGCTCTATCCCAAAGCTCATTCCGTCAAAAAAAATCAACTTAGTAATTGAATTGAATCTACACAACCTGCCCTAATTTGGCTGTAAGCAACATGTGAATTGCCAACTGGGAGGGATGTATATTCTAACTTTCTGCTTATATACATGATTGGCCATCCAAGCGGACGACCTCGTGGTTGTTAGTTCTGAGTAAAAACTGAATTGGCCCATTGTGCTGAATTTTTTTATTTGCTAGAAACCATCAATAATTATAGAAAGTTTCAGTCCTCAACCCACATGATGGAGTTGGAACAATTGACAATTTTGATTTGTATTTTGATAATGGGAAAACAACTTCATTGTGGCTCCATTTTTCTTGGAAGTGTCTTTCTGAAGGGGTGAACTTGTATCTTCGACTGTTATGAGTGAGTAATTGATTTTCTGTGGGAAAGCAGGAGAGCCAGGCCCCCACTTTAAAAGTTGTCCCCTTGCTGAGAAAGGTTACAATAGGCACATGTAATTATTAAGAGTAATGCTACACTGACCAAATTTTGGAACCAAATAAAAAGCCAAAATGACATGACACCTGATTATTTGGAGTCTTTATTGGGGCCCAAATGATATAGCACCACATAAAGAAGTCCAAATCAGCTGTCATGTCATTTGGGCTTTGATTTAGTCCTAAAATTTGTTCAGTGTAGCATTACTGAATTATTAATCCCCCTATAATTAGTAATCACCATAAGTTTAAACAATATTGTGTATAAGTGATTGCATAACTATACTTCTTTTTCTTGGATTTCTTCATCTCTGTCTAACATACCTGACAATGTTCATGCCCCATTTGTGTCCTTTGTCCTCCTTTGTGGCTCAGTGCCGCTTAGACCCTAATTTATATGCTTGGATTCTGGTTTCTTCTATGTTATCAATCATGCAATCAGTGAGGAATTCATGGATGAGGTTTTTTCCCAAAGCAAAAGGTTCTTTGATCTACCCATAAAGGAAAAAAATGAAGCTTCTAAGGAACAAGAAGCATCGAGGATATACTCATACTCTAGATGAATATTTGGATCCTATCAATCAAGTACAGGGTTAGTCTGCTACTGTTCTTTTTTGTATTATTGTATGAAGCAACAATATAGCAATATGAATAACTTAATGTAATAGTCTATGCAATGTTGTATTTGATACAAGTTTTAGTGAAGACCTTTGAACATTTTCTTAAATAAGGGGAATGCCAGAAAGACCTATGCAAAAAGAATTCCTTCATATGTTACCCACACATCATGCACACAATAGTAATGATATCATGGTTGACACAAATCTTCTTCATTATAAAAGGCCTTGGGTCGAATATCGGTCATACCACTGTTATTTGAACGTCAATCACAATAGAAAACCTTTGTGCCCCAATCAGTGACGAAATATTGCATCAACTAGGAAATGTTGTGAGAAGATCACATTATGAGGAAAGCGAAAGATCATGATAATCGAGTATTCTTTAGGGGTTCTCATAGGATGCATTCTTCTGTGATGTATATTGTCTGAAGGCATTTGATTCCTTTATATATGCATATGTATATGTGTGTGTAGTTACATAGATACATATATCATCCGCTGTAATTTTGTAGAATCTACCAAATATACGAGTTTACTATTTTTTTCAGTTATCATCAATTATGATCTACTGCTTTCAAGAACCCTTCTTTGATAATGGGATCTATTCTTTTTATTAGCTAACTGAAACCCGATGCTAATATTCTTTATTCTTTGTGACAATTGTTTACATGTCCCAAAATTTATCTAACTCGTCCCAGAAAACGGATCTAACTACACTTCACTCTCAAAATTCTACGATGTGTTATGCTTCACTATTCTTTATGGATTCTCGTATGATGCATTTTTCTAAGATTTCTATTTTTAAGACAACTTTGAATCTTGGGAAAACAAAAGTGATTTCCATCTGAGGTTAAAGATCCAATGATGTTAGCTGCTGAGTTCATGTTATAAACGAAACCTCTTGTAGATTTTGCCTACTGTAAGACTTGTTCAAAAATTATAGAGCTGGACTTTTCAGTCCTCCTTATGTGTTGTTCCTCTCGATTTCTGTTTCAACTATGATGATTTGATTTTTGGCCATATCTTAATATTTTCTGGATACATTTTCGTGTAATGAGCAGCATTGATTTAATTTTGAATGTAAAAGGCAACTTGGACTTTGCTCTTTTGTCTAATCACATTAATTTTTCTCATCGTTCTATATATGCATTCAGTGAGGTGGCAAAAGCAATTGCAAGACTCATAGCCCTTGCACTTGACCTTGGGGCAACTTTTTTTGATCAGCAAGAAATGCTTGGCAAGCCTATTGCCATGTTCCGCCTACTACATTGTGAAGGTTAAAATTGAAACAAAAGCTACCAAACTCCATTGTGGAGCATGCAGAATTTTTTTTGTTGATTGATGTCACTTGTGTAATGTTGACTCATTGATTGTTCATTAGGTCTAATATCTGATCCCACAAAGGGATTATATGGAGCTGTAGCCCATTCTAATTTTGGTTTGGTTACCCTCTTGGCTACGGATGATGTTGTTGGTCTCCAAGTAAGGATGAAGCTGAATTACACTATAAGTCCATTAAGTTCATTCTAATTTTTGATAAGGGATTGTAACTTTTTAATTTGTTTCAGATATGCAAGCATAAGGATGTCAAACCTCAGATCTGGGAACATGTGGCACCATTGAAAGGGTGGGTTAGTATAGCATTGAGATTGTTAATCGTGGAAAAGAAGATGAGTTATACACAAGCTATTGAAGTTGTGTTTGTCCGTCAATGTAATTCATGCATCTTGCTAGTAATTTATACTGGGATAATTTTGGATTTTTTTTACATTGATGGGCTCACAACCTATGCGATTGAGCTTTTGGGTGGTCGAGTTGGCTCAAACACGTATGGTAGACCCCATCTTGCCAACAAGTGGTATCAAAAGCATGTTGGGCTCTTCCATTGTGGACTCTTCATCTTCCCGACAAGTGATATCAAGGGTTGTCCATATTGAGCCAACTTCCAAAGCTTAAACTTAACTTATTGGTACTGAGTTCATCGTATATATATTAGAATATCCTCATGGCGTATTGACCCAAGTTGGACTTTACTCTAATATTATGCATGCGGAACATATGTCGCAATGACTTTATCCTTGTGTTGTCCTGAACAATAGCTTACCGTCATTGCTGTTGTTGATAAATTTCCTCTTTAGTTTATTGTAATATTACTGCTTTACTGATTGATATTTGACTTCCAGAGAATTTATTGTAAATCTCGGTGATATGCTGGAGCGCTGGAGCAACTCTATGTTTAGGTAAGGTGCATTTTCATTAGCAGTTGTTATCCTGCTGGCATCCAGTGCCATAGGCGAGTTGGAGATGTTTGATATCAATTCTTGCCTAAATTTGAATATTAGTTAACTAGTTCCCACTTTAGTTTAAGTTTCAAAGTTTGACTATAATGTCTAGTTGTCTACCTTTTGACTTGGTCATGATTCATGGTGAAACTGGCACAAGTTATCAATCGTTTGATGAAATATCTCATTCAACAATTGCGTATTGTTGAATTGCTAAACTATCGTCATTGCGGGTTTTGTTCTCACGGTGATTTGCATGCTCTTAGAGTTATTTAATTATATCTTCTGAACTTCTAGACATACCATTTCATGGAAATGTGACCCTTTGTTAATTCTATCCAGGTCGACATTGCATCGAGTTTTGGGGAATGGTCAAGAGAGATATTCTGTAAGGCCCTTCGGAAGCTTTTAAATGTGTTTCTAACATACTATAATGATTGTTTTTAGATATTCTCTCCCTTTTAAGCTATACATTTTTAGTTTTATCATACATGTATGACCGAAATTGATTACACCTTTGGTCTTTGACACTTTGCATTAATATTTAGGCCCCATTTCTAACTGTGCTGTTCAACTTGAAACAAGTTGTAACTGGGCTACTCGGGTAGGGTAAAGCTTTTGAGACTAATCTTGTGGGAGTATTTACCCATAGTCGATTCGTTTTTGAGTTAAATGTTTTAAACAATACTGATTAGTTTATCACTTTATCCATTCTATCATCATACTATAAGTGGAAGCAGAACCGAGTTTACAAGTGCTGCAATGTTTAAGTGGTTCCTCAGCATGTTCTAGGTTTGAAGCTACTAGGAAGCATTCACACCAATTAAATGAGTGGACACATATGCACAAAAAT